CGGCTGCCTCTGTCCCAGCTGCATCTCCCTGTGAAGGGGCACGGATCCAGGGAGGGCTGTGGTGGGAGGGGGGTTTCGTGGCGTGGGGTGGGTGCATGCATGCAGCTGGGTCCTGACACACTCGCTGGCAGAGCACTGCATCTGCAGCTCCTCCAGCCACATCCAGCGGCCTCGTCCTTCCATGTACCGTGCAGGGCTTCGGCCTGGGGCCGAGATGGGCAGAGGGTGGTTTGCAGGGGTCAGAGCAGGGACGTGGCACAGCCCAGGCTGAGCTCAGTCCCTGTTGCCTCCGGTAGGGAGTGGGAGAGGGTGCGACGGGGGAACTGTAGGGGCTGCAGGCAGGACTCTGCTGGAGTCTCTGGGATGGGAGGAAAGGCCGGTACTCCTGAGCCTGTTGCCACCATGAACCAAAGCAGATTTCCAGATGGCGCTGACCCCTCCAAACCACGAGGTCCCCTGGCAGCCCTGTCCCAAGCTTCTGGAGACGGGCCCCGTGGCTTGCCCTGAGCCGCTGGAGCTGCAGGCTTGCGTTGCATCCCGTGTCCCCAGAGTCTATCACCGCTCGACACCCGTCCTCATGTGGGAAGGGGCAGCACCCGCCATCTCCCCGCACAGTGCTGTTCCCTCACCGCCTGCCCCTGCTGTGCTCTGCCGCCGTGTTCGCTGTCGTTGTGCCCTGCCACGTCCAAGTGCTGTGTGTTGCATGTGGAACAGAGCCGTGTGATGCACAGGGCTGCAAGCGTTTCTCCAGCCCGTCCCGGGCTGGTGACGGTACTGCCACAGCTCCTGTGCTCAACACCCAGCCCCTTGCCCGGCAGGTTTCCCATGTTGGTAGGAGGCTGTGTCCCTGTGGTTTTGGCCTTGGATTTACGGTTATCCTCCTCTTCTGCCAAATCTCTTGCCATCTCTCTCCTCTCTACCAGCCTTGAACTTTCCATCTTTCAGCACTCCTACGTGCTCCAGCTCTTCCCTTTCCCTTCCCCTTTGCCTCCCCTCCCCTCCTGTTTTTGGCACTCTTGGCGTTCTTCCCCTCCAACATGGCTGTGGGTAGAGGGAGTGCATGGTAGTGATGGTACTTGGGCACCCTGTCCCCCTGAGTCCCTCTCCTCTGCCTGTCCAGGATGAGCCCCTAAATACCCAACCCTGTGCAGTCATTCCTTCATCACCCCTTGTATCCCTGCCGGGTGCAGGGTCTGCACAGGGAGCTGGTTCCTGAGCGTGGCTGTGAGAACACAGCAGCACCCAGAGCCCTCCACACCCATCCAGGAGCACAGCAACCCCCAGGGTGCTCAGCACCCATCGATGAGTCACAGCAGCATCCAGGGTGCTCGACACCCTCCATGAGCACACAGCACCCAGAACACCATTACCCCTCACATGCTTGGTGTCACAGCCCCTGGCAGAGGAGCTCCACATCTAGACTTAGTTCTCCTTCTTAAATTGCCCCTCTTTTTCCCCAGAGCCACTTGGGTCTTGGGCACCATCACTGGAGCAGCTGCGTTGCCCAGCCGAGCCCTCAGGCCCACCTGCCACAGCGGCCACCTTGCTCAGCAGCAAGGGAAAGTGGGGACAGAGTGGTCCCTGAGGGTGTGCGTAGGAAAGCGTAGGTGGTATCTCACAGCGGGTGACACTTCCCAGCCACGGCAGTCCCAGGGCTCTCAGGCAGGAGGGTCCCAGTGGGGTCCCTTACAGAGGAAGGGGTGACCGGGAGTGCTGGCAGGGTAGGTGACTGGGGAAGATGTTCACAGCAGTGTGTCCCAGAGGACAGTGGCAGGAGGAGTGGGACCCATGACCAAGAAAGGGGTCGTGGAAGGAGCTGCTGAGAAGAATGATCCCATCAGGCTGGGGGGAGCCGAGGTCCCCTCCCATGGGCTCTGTCATGCCTCAGTGGCACCTCCCGGGGTTGATTTGTGTCCCTGTGTTTTTGTCGTCCTCCCCAGATCTTTCCCAGCTCCCCACCCCACACGTTCACTCCACTCCAGCCCCTCCGCCAGGCCCTTCCCAGCCCATCTCTCATGCTTCCATGGCCACCGCTTCATCCTTCACTCCAGCTCCCATCCAAGGTACTGTAAGCTCCTTTTCTCTCTTTATGGACACGCTGCTCCCCAGCCCGGCAGGAGAAGCTCCGCGGGAGGATGGTGGCCCAGCCCTGGGCCAGGGACACCCTTGCCACGTCCCAGGTGCCAAGCCAGGCTCCAGTCCCTGTGCATCTGCTCGTTGGTGTGAGTGGATGCTGCAGCCACCATCTCAGCGCTTCAGGGTGGTGGTATGAAACAGAAAGAGTCAAGGCCCCAGAGTCTGGGCTGCGTAATGGTCTTTCCAGCTCTTCCTGGCAGGTTATGGCAGCAGCTGCCTGTCAGCTGCAACCTGTGCCTTGTGTCCATGTGAGATGTTGTCCCTCTGTCTTGTCACCTCACCTGTTGTCTCTCCCACCCTGTCCTGTCCGAATGCCACCTCTGAACGTTGCTGTGGCTCTGTCCCCCCCAAGCTGATGAGACACAACGAGTGTGGAGTGGAAGGAGGATTTGTCCCTGTGTACCAGGGCTAACACAGGATCCCAGCGCAGACTGTGTTACAAGATGCGGCTGACTTGGGACTGGCCTTGGGGTCCCACCTTCCTTGGGGTGCTGTTACCTCCTGGGGTGCAGTGTGTGGCCATGCCAGCCTGCACATCACCTTCCTGCTGGCACGGTGCAGGGGAGGAGTGAGCCAAGCTTGGCTCTGCCGTGTGCTCAGCCCCCTTTTTGGGGGCGAAAATCCCACCATGAAGGATGGGGCAGTGGGATCATGGCTGTGCCTGAAGGCAGAGCTACCATGGGCTGCACAGAGCATGTTGCTGGTGCTGCTCCCTGGGGTACATCACAGACAGCCGGGCACAAGGATGGGTTTGCCCATTGCAGCTCTTCTCAGCTGCCTTCTTGCCCAGGCAGGGCTCCCAGCGCAGCTGTTGGGGCTCCTCCTGGCTCACTCGCCACAGGAGCTGACATCGATGGCCATTGCTACCCGCTCCTTGCTTCCTCTGCTGCCTTCCCTTTTCTTAATCCCACCTCGACAGCTCTCATCTGCAGCAGGATTGAGCTGATGGCACCGAGCCAAGCAGGATCAGACCCTCCAAGGCGCCCGCCTGCA